AAAGAAAGAAAGAAAGAAAGAAAGAAAGAAAGAAAGAAAGAAAGAAATTAGACAAGTAAGGAAGGAGAAGAAGCCACCATGGGATAGAAGAAGATTCAGGGGAGGAGAAAGGAGAACCGCCATGGGTGAGCTGAGCCATAAAAATGGGGCACTGTGGGCTGGCCAATTGGAGTTGCGAGCAGCCCAGATGAAACACAGTAATAACTTAGGTTATGGATAGGAAGGTGAATTCTAACAGCATGGAGGGTAGGCAGCTGCCCAGCTACTGTGCTGCTTAAAGCATATTAAGATATAAACGCTGTGTGTGTGTCCTTTATCCAGGAACATAACTGGTCTAAGGCAGGTAGAAACCCAGTGCCAGGATTACTAAATATTTATTACAACAGAAAGACTGTATGGTCTTTCTGAGTATGCCGTCTTGACCCCATAGCTTGTGTTTCTTGAAATAGATCTGTGTCTGGTTGAATTTATCTTTCAAGTTCTTAGTACATTATTGAGTAGCCTGCGCCTACATAGTAGGAGGCTTTCTAGGATTCTCTTTCAAGGGTTAGCTGTCTGTTTGCTATAAAGCTACCAGGGAAGAGCTTAGCTGGACTGAGGTGGCCTTGCCAATCTTAAGGAGATCTCCCCATGTTAGCAGTAGGCTTCCCTCTGGTTAGAAGACAGGTTACCAGTTCCCATTGTGGTCTATATACGTATGCTCATTTGTCTTTATCCCTCCAGGGACCTTTGGGCAGAATCGTCCCTGGGATGTTTTCACTCCTGACTCCTGGGGTCACCCAAGGGTCCCTTTTGAAATTCTGACAGACCCTCGGAGCATGCCTACCCACCTGGTACTGGAAACAGATGTTCCTGCTGGATGCTCAGGAGGACGGCAGGAGCAGAGCCACGTGACAGAGGAGAAGGTCCTGTTTGAGGTTGGTGTCTGAACCAAACATTTGTGCTTCCTTTATGGGTTCTCTGCTGATCAGCAGGATGCACACACAGGCTAAGAAAGTCAAAGCATGATCTGGTGACCCAAGGCAACAGGACAAGGAGAGTGTGTCTCCTCCATCCTGGGCAACGGCACTGATCTGGACCAGGCAGATATGTGATTCATTTGTAAGATAAAGGACAGGATCTCTGTGTCCTTTTCCCCTTTCTCCTATAGAAAGGCAGCTATCCCTGGCCTTAGAACACAGCAGCATGCTTAACGCTAGTGTCAAATCTGAGAAGGGCAGACCCTGCACCCTCAGCCCACACTTCCTATTCTGAGATGCATTGAAAAGCATCTAATAACTGAGTGGCAGCTACGACCCGCTTAATGCCCAACTCCATGAGAATCAACGTCAGAGCAAGAGATTTGGAGAGGACCCTGGGAGATGCAACCTTGATTTAGAGCTCCCATGAAATATATGCATTTCCAAGAAATGCTTGCCCTTTAATAAATTGAAAAGAAGGTCATTTTGTGAGCTATTGCTTGCCAGCTGTGTCACAACTCAAAGCAGGACACCTGCTCTGCCAGCAGAATCATCATGTCTTTGGTTTTTCTCTTGGCAGCCTCACAGAATACAGATCTTCCAGTATAACCAAGCTACCGACTCCAACTTAGAGCCCCAGAGGTGTTCAAAAATAGAAACAAAGGATCCAGGCAAGCACATGCCAGGAACAGCTTCTGTGTCACCTGAAGCTCCTCTGCAGTCGTGTTCTCAAGGTTATGGAATGATAGATATCACAGCAGCAGTCTGGGGAGACTCAGAATGTGGCATGCACTGTTGGCTGATTTAGAAACACAGTCGTTTCAGCTAGCATTCAATATGGAAAACTCTAATGTGTTCATTAATTCTGATAGGCCCGCAATTTAGCAAACAAAAGCTCAGGCGGAGGTAGGAAGAGAGAAAGGAGAAAGAGGGGAGAAAATGACAAAGCCCCAGCCAGTTCTTAGCTCAGAGACAGATCTAGGGAGAAATCAAAATTCAGGTTCATGGGGAGAGTTCTGGAGGACATAGTGGGAGGAAGAGGAGACAAAGAAAGGAGAACAGTAAGGCAGGAAGAAGGATGAAGGAAGCAGGATGCTCAGAGTAACAAAATCATGGTACTGTAATTTATAGTGTGCTGCTTGCTCTCCGAGGGTGAACTAAGTCTTTCTGAGTGATTTTGATCTTGTATACGATAAGGGTCCCTCAAGCCAGGGAGATATGGTAGCAAATCCTGTGATACCTGAGCAGAAGCTGAGAGCTCACACTCTAAAAACTGACTCAGAGAGGGAGCGATGGAAATGGGTTGAGACTCTGCAAGCCCCAAGCCAAGAGAGTACACTAGAAATGTCACCAGTCTTTAAACACTCAAAGCCCACTTCCAGTGACACTCTTCTTTCAAGAAGGCTACAGCTCCTAAGACTCCCAAGCAGCACCACCAACGGGGGACTGTCTTGGCTAGTTTTAGGTCAACTTGACACAAGCTAGCATCATCTGAAAGGAAGGGGGCTCAATTGAGAAAATGGAAAATGTCTCCATGAGATCTGGCTGTAAGGCAAGCCTGTAGGGCAGTTTCTTAATTAGTGATTCATGGGGGAGGGCCCAGCCTATTGGTGGTGGTGCCATCCCTGGGCTGATGGTCCTGAGTTCTACAAGAAGGTAGACTGAGCAAGCCAGTAAGCAGCACCCCTCTGCATCAGCTCCTGCTTCCAGGACCCTGCCCTGTTTGAGTTCTTGTTCTGACTTCCTTTGGTGATGAACAGTGGAACTGTAAGTCAAACAAACCCTTTCCTCTCCAACTTGTCTTTTGGTCATTGCATTTCATCAAGCAATAAAAACCCTAACTAAGACTAGTTGGTACCAAAAGTAGGGTATTGCTGTTACAGACCTGATTGTGTTTTGGAGAAGACTGTGGTAGGACTTTGGAACTTTGGGTTGGAAAAACCATTGAGTATTGGACGCTAAGAATGTTGAGAGCACTGAAGATGAAGGTCTGGCTCAAAAGTTTCAGAGGAAAGTTTAAAGACTCTGTCAGGGCCATTTGCTATTTTGAGTTGAGAATTTGTGGTTCCGGTTAGCTAAGACTAAAGAATCAGCTGTCATGAGACCAGCATTCTTGAGGTGAAATCTTCTGGAACATGTTTCCTCAGGGTCAGCACACAGAAGCTGTGTTCAGAAGCAGCAAACTTTGTACACCTCATGTGGGCAGCCAGACTTGGTAGTGTGAGAATCACTTAGGTGGTACTGATTTTGAAAGCATGAAGGAAAGCAGCCTAGGCTTGGCAATGTGTGGCAGGCCTGGAGTCTGTGAAGGGCCAGGAGGGGCTATTGTTGAAAGTACAGCCCAGTTCCAGCAAGGGACTCCAGCAGCTTTGGAGATGCCAGTACAATGAGATGACCACAACAAATACCAGCAGGTGTGAAGTGGAACTAGCCTGAGCCTAGAAGACTAGCTGTGTGTGTAGGCTTATATTTTTCAAAACCTTTAATAAAGGTTCTTAAACATTTCAACCACCCTTATAGCCCAATTGACCAAAGGTAGGGGAGTAAAATGGCTAATCAGACAAGGGGGATGTGGACCTGTTTAGAAGTGGTTCCTTGGGGTGACCACGCTGGCTCAGTCAATCAACAGGATCTCAAGGGAGGAATTGAGGATTGAAAAGAAAAAGACAGACAACACTATAACATGACTCCAGCCAGTGCTGAGGCTGAAGCGGGTTTATTCGTCTCCAGTCTGCTTTTATACCATTCTAAGTACATGCAAAGAATAAGGTCAGTTCTAGGTCAAGGAACAAACAAGGCAATAAACAAAATCCTGTGGTCTTCAGGGACTTATCAAGATGATCAAGATCTTGAGCCTACTTCCTTGTCCTAGTCCAGTGTCAAATTCCTGCCTGAGCCTACTTCCATGTCCTGGCCCAAAGTCAAATTCTTACCAAATTTCTAGAAGCAGCCCCAAGACCTCTCCACATTGGGGCATTTCCAGTCTTCATTGCCTGTAATCTACTCCACTAGCAAAACACCAAACACAAATAAGCAGCAACGGCTCAATCCAGAAGAAACCACAAGGCCCCACTGATTGGCATGCGTCTGCCAAAGTGACAAGAAGCAGCCAGAGCACCATCAGAAGTTCTTTGGTGTGCTTCTCTCTACAACTTCACACCAAGCAGAGACCAGTGAATAAGGCAAGGCAAACCGATGTCACAGCATTGTTAGCAAAGACTAGCAAGTCGAACCAATGCCAGAGTGTTGTCCACTGTCTGTTGGGTTATACTCTTTCCAAATATCACACATCCTCTCAAGCAAACCAGCAAAATATCACATGCCTTTTCACCAGACAGTTTCCAGCAAAACACCAAATGTCTGTTCTCAGCAAAATATCCTCTCACGTGTCTGCTTCAACAAAACATCCTCTCATAAGACAGCTTCCTGAAAAACATCACATGACACCATTGAATCTCCAACAAAACCAGATATCCCCATTTCACCTGTGTGCTGCAGAGGGCTGAGCCAGAGAAGTGACCCAAGCCCTTTGGAGGAGGCCAGAGGATTATGAGTGATCCAGACACTGGATATTGAGTTACCTACACTGTTGGAGTTTGGTTTTGCTTTTATTTGATTGTGATTGGCTCTTCCATCTTGAAATAAGGAAATATTTCCTTTATTTTTGATTTTACAGGAGCCCACAGTTGAGAGACTGAACTTTATAAATGATTTTTAGGTTTTAAAGAGAAACTTCTGATTTTTTTTTTAAAAGACTGAATTTTAAGGTGTTTGATTTTGTAAAGACTATGAAACTTTTTTCATTCTTCTCTCATATATTACACCCCAGCCATAGTTTTCCCTCCTCTCCTCTCCTCTAAGGCCCTTACTCCTCACCTTCCCCCTCCCCCACATCCACTTTTCCTCTGTTTCCCTTTGGAAAAAGGCAAGCTTCCCAGGGATAGCAATCAAACATGGCATGTCAAGTTGCAATAAGATCATGTACATCCCCTCATGTTGTTCTCCCTGCCCTCATGGATCATCAGCCACTATGGTCCCGAGGGCAAATGGAGCAGAGACAATGATGGGGGGGAGGGGGGCAGATGAGGAGGTATGTGCGGCTTTGATGTTTTGGAAGTACAAAATGTGAGTACATATGGTGAATGACCACATTGGGACCAGCTGCCAAGAGACAGATCTACTTTGCTTTGGGTGATTCAAGGTTTATAAAGTTCTAGGGAATGGTGGGTAGAAACATTTAGGATGGGCACAGATCATTGGCTGAAGGCTTAGGGTACTGATGCCTCATTAGCATGGAGAAAGAAGCATTTCAGGGATCTCAGGTGCTTGCTGAATGGGTTCTTATCAGGAAAAGGGAAGTTGATCCTATAATCTAACTGAGGCTATGTGACATTCCTCAAGTAGAGACATGTCTGTGGGGTTTTGAATTCCCAGAGAAGGGGAAACCCTGCCAATGAAGGGAATCTTCCATAATGACTGAGCTCAGAGGTTAACCAGACATGGTGGACTTCAACCTTAATTAGCAGAGTTTTCCCACACCTTCATATTAAGGCTGGACAGGACAATCCAGTAGGAGTAAAGAGAGTCCCAAAAGCAGGCAAAAGTCCCTGTCCTGACTTCCTTTTGATACGATATGGAAGTCTTAGCCAAATAAACCCTTTCATCTCCAGTTTGTGTTAGTCATGATGTTCCATTGCAGGTACAGAAACCACAATCGAAACAAGACTATGGGGGGTATCTCATCCCAAACACCACAAAGTTACTTCTAAGATAAAGGGGACAGAAAACAAAACTCCAAGCCCTTATAGGATGTGATTGAACCAGGAATCCAAACAGTAAAATTGCAGAATAAGGTATTGCATTGCTGTTTGTGAGAGGACCCCAAGCTCAGATTCATTCACTAGTCATGTGATCTCCAGCAGTCCCTCCTGCTGAGCTACGAAATGGAGGGTGTCTTAGGTAATCTAGAAGTTTCTTTCCAGCCTTAAAAACTATGTGCTTGTCTTATTTTCTGTTCACGAAAAACTTAATGTGTTCACTGGGCTCTGGATGTTGATAGCACCTCTTCCAAGATGTTAAGAGATTTCATACAACCATAGCTAAAGTGAGTTGACTAGATGTTAAGAGAGCTCACAGGAAAATGCCACATACCAGCTGGTAGTGGGACACAGCACAAAGGCTCCATGGGAAGTTCTGTCCTCTGTCCAGTTCAGCCAGCCTGAGTCTTGTTCTAACAGGGAAAAGGCACGCTCCCCCACTGTTGGCTCTTGGTCCCTGTTACCAAAGTGGTCATGGCTTCTGCTCTCTCTTCTCTGTCTTCTTCCTCCAGACTGAAAAGAGCTGTAGTCCTCCCTCCCCAGAAGGTCCCATTGTTGAAGCGGAGGCGAAAGCAGATTCAAGCCGATGGTCTGCGTTTTGCCATGGCAGGTGAGTCTGGACAATCAGGTGGGTCCAAGGAGCCGCCCCCTCCTTCACTTCTACCTCCAAAGAATGCAGCCAGTCCTTGGCTGAGGCCTGCTAGCCCTCTGTTTCTGTGTTATTTGTCACAAAGCTCCCCCAGCCTGTGAGTATAACTGAGGTCACTACTCAAATGTCACCCACTGAGCATCTTACCTATGTGTTTTAACATACACACCCTATTTTATCAGGCTACTGCCCATGTCCAAGGCCTATCCATTTGTCTTTGCCAACAGCTCTGTAGCAGGGGTTGCCTGCCTTGGCATCCCACAAGGCAGTTGTGGCCTCACCATCTCTCACATAGGTACCCCATATAGCCCTTCTGGCTTTCTGGGGGCCTGGGGTGAGGATGAAGGACCCAGGGCCTCCAAAGCTACAAATCCCAGGCTACCTCAAAACCCCACATGCACTCCAGGTCCCTATGCACTAGGTGAGGGGAGATTCCAGAGAAGCAGAGCGCTCCCCTCCAGTTTCCTGAGATGTTCCTCTCTAGGTCTCGGTCACCAAGAGACCCAAAGAAATAGCCCCTTCCACATCCTCTGATGGTCCTCTCACCATAGAATTCAGGTTTAGTGCCTGGATGAGTGGTGGCTCCATCCTCACCATGTTCTTCAAGAGCCCAAGTTCCTTCCCTGTACAGACAGACTATTTCCATCTGCACAATTGTGTAGTGGTAAAGACAGCTACAGGGACCCCTTGCCTTCCACCGACATTCCTGAAAGTACAAACAGGGGAATGGGGAGTTGGGGATGCAGGGCTTATACTTTCCAGCTGGCTCCGCATGTGTTTTGTCATATTCTAGGAGTGTCTGCTTACTTCTGCTCACTTCTTAAGGGGCAGCACATAGTCACATGCCCACAGCCGGTCACAACTGAGGCCGTGTCCCAGGAGAGGGGGTTGAGAAAGGGGTTCTGGTAGACAAGTAGCAAGCTCTGTCCCAGAAGCTAAGAATATAAAATGCTTTGGGTGCTTGTAGAATTCGAGGGTCTGTCACCCAGAAGCTCTGCCCACCGTGATGTATCATGCCAGGTGTCTGGAAGCCACAAAGCCAAAGTTTGTCTGGGCCAAATAGCTCATTTATGGGAAAACAACACAGACTTGGAATTTAGTAACCGTGACGATGAATCATTTCAACTTCCTGTCTGTATACTTGGAGATCTCCCAAGAAGGTATGGGATACAGTAAGATGTCAGATGTGATAGTGTACTGGAGTGTGGTGTGAGCGTTGGAGACTGGAAACAGGAGGCTTCTTCCCTGGCCACTGACATCATTGCCATCTCCATCCTGGACCAATTCAGTTAGCAAGGTGGCCTGCAGCTGCAGACTGAGCCCTGCTTTTTTGTTTTTGTTTTTCAAGACAGGTAGAGTTGGCTGTCCTGGATCTCATTCTGTAGACCAGGCTGGCCTCAAACTCACAGAGATCCTCCTGCCTCTGCCTCCCAAGTGCTGAGATTAAAAGTGTGCACCACCACCGCCCTTCTGAGCCCTGTACTTTATATACCTCCTCAGGCCCTCTTTTGCCTCCAGTTGCCTCTCTCCTCAAAGACACTGATGCAGGACAGGAGGTGGGAAACGTCCAAATGTGACTAAGAGCAAGTACAGCAAGAAGCCACAACGATGGGTGCTGTTTGACTCTCTTCTGTCCAGACGGTGTTAATACAGGGTGGGGGGACAGGGAGTTAGCTCTAAATTTAGGATTGGATTTGATTCTCTGTGCTTGCTTATCACAAGGATAAAATGGGCAGAATGTGAAGAGTGAGGCACGCAGGGGGAAGACGGAGGGGACAGTGGGCCTTTTGGGTAGGTCCTACCCCATCAACCCTGATGGTTGTTGGGTGAATTTTAAAATGGATGCCTTTTAAGGCAGGAAGCATTAGAAACAATACACATTTTCTGTCAACATGCCATTTCGATCTGCAACATGAAGAGTGCACATTCACTCAGTGGTCTTTAGACGTTCAATGCACCATACGTGAACTTTGATTTCTGCTTTTACAGAAGTGAAGCAGACATCCACAAAGCATGGAAGCACCGTCTCCATCCCAGTTTCTAGAATTTCCCCAAACCATTGTTCATCCTCAGTTCTCCATCATCTGCCAGCTGAGCGTCTTCAGCCCTAGCAAGGGCTTCTTTGTTTTTCTCATTATTCTCACATTAATGTAATTTTCTCTTTGTTCAGATAAATTTATAATCACCATCAGTGTCCAAGAGGCATGAGCAGATGTGCAAACAAACACAGCTGGTTCTGGCTAAGGGCGCACCTTTTCCCGTTAGGTAGAAGGCTGCCGTTGCTGTCTAGCACAAGGGAGCATTCACAGGGCTGTCGAGCATTTGTGGGGAGGGTATTAATGGAGTCACTCAGACCACCAGGTCCTTTTAGAAAGCATCTACTGCAGTGATTCTTTTTGTAACTGATTCTCTGGAAGTCAAATCATGTTTTCCTTGTGTAGGTTGACTATATGTAGAAAGCAAGAGAGATCATAGGTTGGGGAGGGGAAGACCTCATCTACAGCCCGTAGGACAAGCCACTCCTCTCTCCACTGTGTCAATGAGGCCCCCATGAGGAGACCACCTCAGACATTTAGGCAGGAAATTCAATAAGACTTTGTTCAGTTTTCATCATATTACTGGAGACACCCCACTGGGGATCTCTATAGAAAAGGAAACTGAGGCTCAGGGAGGCCATGCTGCTTACCTGAAGTTAAATCACTAGTAGGTGGCCAGGCACAGCTCTCCTCTGAGACCAAGCCTTGGGCTTTCTCTGAACATAAAAAGAAAACAGACTGTACCTGCTTTAAACATAAGGATGCCTTGGGCAAGAGGCAGATGGTTGCAAGCAAGCTTGCCTGCAGAATGCAGCCCCAGGGTTGGCGCTAGGGCAACTCACTGAGGAGCTTGTTGCCTGGGGTCGCTTTAAAGTTTAAACAGAATGGTGGGAAGATGTCTGAGAGATGTTGCTTCCCTGTCTCAGCGGGGTGAGGTGAGGTACAGGAATTGTTTCCAGAGAGATGGTACCAGGGAGGTGAGCAGATGGCCCGAAAGGATATGCACAGAGTAAAGAGGGAAGTAGAATAGCAGGACAGAGAACACAGGACAGAGTACACGGGACCAAGATGGCAGCAGAGCTCCAGAGACAAACCATGTTGTAGGAAGCAGGGTTAAGCACCCCTCATTCCCCTGAGCATTCCAGGTTTTGTTAAAACTCACCTCACAATGTGTGTTGAGGGCTGCTCTATGCCTACACTACTCTTTAATAAAACACTTGGACAGGGGGGCTAAAGAGATGGTTCAGCGGTTAAGAGCACTGACTGCTATTCCAGAGGTCCTGAGTTCAATTCCCAGAAACCACATGGTGGCTCTCAACCATCTGTAATGGGGTCCGACACCCTCTTCTGGTGTGTCTGAAGACATTGACAGTGTGTTCACATATATAAAATAAATAAATCTTTAAAAAAAAAAAACGGAACACACCCACAGAGAGGAGTCTGTCCTGAAAAAAAAAAAAAGATCGGTTGCCAGCCTCCATTGTTTCATGCACTGCTTTTGCATGATGGGAGGAGTATGAAGCATCATGGGAACATTGGTGCAGTGGATGATGGGAGAGTGTTTGGAGAGAGGGAATTCATGCTGATGCATGAAAAATATTAGTGTGGATATTAGGGTGTGGCCACTTGAAAGGGGTTTTAGAAGGAGACAGAAATGCTGCCACGCGTATGAGCCTGAGGATGTTGTGCTAAGTAAAACAAACCAGTTGCAAAATGACAAATACTGCCTGATTCTGAGGCACGAGGTACCCAGAGCAGTCAGATTCTCAGAGTCAAAGTAAAATGGCTGCCATTAGGGGCTGAGGAGAAGGGAACAAAGGGATGTTGCTTAATGCATATGTTTTCAATTTTGTGAGGTGGACGCGTTTAGAAGCTGACCATGGTGGAATGTAGATATAGCCCTGGCACTTGGGAGGCAAAGCCAGGAAAAACGGAGTTCAAGGTCACCCTCAGCTATATAGGGAGTTGAAAAGACCAGAGGCTAGCCTTGGGCTGCATGAGACCCTGTCTCAGAAAACTGAAAGTTCTGGAAATGAATAGTGATGGTGGTTGCACAGCAGTGTCAATGTATGAAATATGTATTTGGTTCAAGTATCTTATACAATGTATTTAATATCACAATTGAAAATAAAGGGGGTGTGGCAAAAGGGTGACTTTGGTTAAAAGCACTTGTGGCTCTGTTGGAGGACCCAAGTTCAGTTCTCAGCACCCACACGGCAACTCAAAACTATCTGTAATCAAGTTCCATGGGGGTCTTCTGGATTCCTCGGAACTGCACACACACACACACACACACAGACTGCACAGACACACTTGCAAGCAAAACACCCACGCATATGAGATAAAAATATTTTTAAAAACTAAAAAGTCCAGAGGTAAGAATATGAAAGAGCAAAGCCCTCGAGGAGGAGAGACGAGGGGCCATTCTGACTTTGAGTGGTTCAGTGTAACTGAAGTGGTGTTGGGTTGTGAACCATTAGAACAAGAAATGAATTGTAACAGTGGAGGTAGTTGGTTTTCCAAGGTGCCTAGAAATGGCCAGAAGGAAAGACTTGGTGAGAGACAGTCCAGGGAAAGGGATAACACAGACATATGGATTCCCAAGGCAGGCTGACGTGCTCAGTGGGGGGACTCTAGCTGCCAGTCTTCCAACACCTCACCCTTGTCCTCTCCCCCCAGACTATTGTCAGTGCGAAGAAAGCCTTGCTGGAAGATGCCCGAGCGCAAATGGCCCCGCATTTACCAGGCCCTCCAGTGCCACGAGCTCGCCTGTGTGTCTGCTCTCGGGGAAAAGCCAGATCTATCTGTTACTGGCTCTGACTTGTTTCCAGTCAGTTTCCCCAGCCAGGAAAGAGAAGCTGAGGGGCAGGAAAGGAAGAAACTCTCACCCTGGAGCAGTTTCTTGCCTGAGTGCTAAGGACCTCGACCTCCCTGCTTGGCCAGTTCTTTTCTGTGTAATGGAACGGTCTGGCTGAGATTAAGGCTTGGCCCTGTGGAGCAGAAAAGAACAAGATGAGAAACGATCTCAGCCCGTGTGGGCTCAGCCTGAAGCAATTAGAGCTGAAATTTCAGAGAACAAACCGGATTCGCAGTGTTCTTTCTGGAACATCGATGTCTCACTTGGTGGAGGAAATCCAGAGCAGGTGGCCACAGCGAGTGGTCCCCAGACAGCTCCTCCAACGGGCCACCTACCACTTAGGGTATCTGTCTAGGGTAGGCTGAGGACGGGGAAAAGCAGGGAGGCTGCTGGGAACAGAGAAGACACTTTGCTGGTGTGTGTGCTTTTTGCCAGGAAGGCCCGCTTTCAGACAGATGGAGTTTCTCATCAATGTCTAACAATACCCTGGGAATAGACACTGTTTTCAGCCATCTTACCAACAAGGAAACTGGGACTTCCAGATGTTCATCCACTTGCTGTAGGAGATAGAGATCTAGAGGGGTGTGGCCATGTCTCAACCCTAATACTCAGGAGAGGCTAGGTGTGGCTCCTAGGAGCTGTGGATCAGTTCCTCTGTGATCAGTTCAGCAGGCAGGTCAAAGGTAGTGACTAAGTTGCCCTCTACCCCACCCCACCCCCGACCCTTCCTGGGCTGCTAGTGAAAGACCTCTACAGGCTGAAGTATGTTCCTGATCTTGAGATAGATTACTGTGCATTTTTCTGGTGTCCTTATAAGAGACATATGGGGATAAGAGGGACAGGAGGAGGAGTGAGGGGAGGAGGAGGAGTGGGAAAGAAGGAATGGAAGGAAAAGGAGAAAGGGGAGGAGGAGGAGTGGGGAAGGAGGAAGGGGAGGAAGAAGTAAGCCAGGTGGCTCCCAAAGGCTGGAAGAGGCAGCAGGATGCCCCTTCGGATACCTCCGGAGCACAGTTCTGCCCACATCTTGGTTCCAGGCTTCTGGTCTCCAGAGCTATGAGAGAATAAATGTGTGTTTGCTGGCAGCCTTTGGCTACTGTGCATCAGCTGCAGGCCCAGCAAACAAAAGGGAATGAGGCAAGGAGGTGGCTGCGGGGAGGGTCCCTGGGGAAGGCGCTCTGAGGGGGAGTGATGGACAGGTAAAGGTTGCCCTCTCACAATCCTGATCACTTCCAGGCCATCCCTGTGTGGAACTATGTATCAGAGAGAGAGAGAGAGAGAGAGAGAGAGAGAGAGAGAGAGAGAGAGAGAATATGAATGAATGAATGAATTAATATGCACATTTGAAGCTACCAGGCCAAAGAATAGACTTTGGGAGCACCATGGCCTCTCCTACCAAAGCCCCACCCCTACCCCACCCCAGCGATGCCCTGGTTTCTTTGAATAGTAGCTAGGTGCTACTGTCCTACAATTGGTCTGGGAAACCCTGAAGAGGACCCTGAAAGTAGAGACTGAGGAGACGGTAGAGCAGGGCCTTGCAGTGGCCTGTCCTGTGCTTCCTCACAGGCGCTGTCTCTCTTCTAGTTTCCTGGTCAATCCTTTGGTTTCCTTTAATACTCTCAGTACTAGCCTTCGGAAAGGTTCTGTATGGAGCTTCTCTATTAGCCATTCAACAAATACTGTCTACCAAAATGAAGAAGGTCGTGTCTCTACCAAAATGAAGAAGGTCATGTCCAAGTTCCACTTGGGTTAATGTGGAACACATTTGAGCATCCTGACTTGTTGCCTGGACCACTGTCTGCTTGGTCTGCTGCAGCGTGGCCTTCTGAAATCCACACCCACAGCCCTGTCACCTTGAATTACAGTCTCTGTTCTTCCTATAGTCCACCTTTCAGACCAAGTGTGGAAGCTGGGTTTTCCAGTACAGACAAAGCATCACTTCCTCCCTAAGGACCAGGACTCAAACCTATCTAGAGAAATCCTAGGCAGCTAGGAATTGTGCGAAACACGAGCAGAACACAGTTGCTGCTGTTCAAAGTACATCAGCTCAAGAGTACAGAACAGACATGTTTTGCTGTCTACACATGAAACACTGTGCAGCTAGAAGAGGTATCAAGTTTTATTCTTATGACTGTTATAGCTTAGAAATCATGTGATCCTAGATGTGGACCATCTAATAAGGACAAATAGGACTTTAATCAGGTCACCCCAGTAGCTTTAATGGTCAAGTAGCCAAATGTTTTCTACTCAACGTCTGCCTTTTTCAGTGAGCTACATTTAATTCTTCAGTGGCTCTAAAGTGACTGGTCTTCTTAGAGCTACTCTTGGGATTAAACGCTTCTGTTTGGTAGGTGAGGAGAGTCCAAAAATTCTCAAACAAAAGTTGGATCACAAAACAGGCTGATTAGGGTAACACCAGTCATTCTGTGATCTTTGATTGTATGTCAGACCCAAGAAATAGTTGTTGTTGGGAGCTGACTCCTAGCAGAAAGCAGCTATCATCTTTGCAGCCATCTCAGGCCATATACCCTGACAAAAGACTTGTTTTCAACAGCCTACAACAGCTGAGCACACTCTGATAAACATCTTGTTTTTCTCACATGTTTTGTTGTTTAGTGCCCCCAGCTGCAAGGTACACGTGGTAAAGTGTCTTCAGATGCATTCCCCTGCTTATGCTTATATATACCCATGATTTCCTTTCAATAAGGGGTACTTGAACAGACTCTGTCTTGCTTCCATTCTTTGAGTCTCTTACCTTGCCATCCCCACTCTCTCTTGCTAGACCCTGACCCTGCAGATTGGAGCAGCAGCTTGGGCTGGGACAAAGTGGCCCCCAAATGTGGGGCAGAACAGATCATGACATAGTGGCGCCCAATGTGGGGCAGAATGAGTTGTTACATAGTGGCACCCAATGTGGGGCGCCACTATGTAAGCTGTTGAAAACAAGTCTCTTGTCAGGGTATATGGCCTGAGATGGATGCAAAGATGATAGCTGTTTTCTGCTAGGAGTCGGCTCCCAACAAGTTGTGAAGGATATTTTGTGAGAAAATGGAACCTGAAGAAATGATTGTGTCAGAGTGTTTTCCTGGGCACAGTGGGAGCTGTGTCAGGATGAGAAGGCCCTGAGAAGTGCTTGGGAAGATGTGTGTTGAGCCTGTGAGGAAGTGGCCGCAAGTTCGCCACATTGCTATCTGCCTATATAAACAAAAGAGATAGACTATCACAGGAATATCTATTGATTTGATATCTAGAGTTTTGTTAAAAAGATGTTTTCTGAAAGGGAAATATATATAGTATGAATCCAAAAGGAATTGCATCAAGCCACAAGCAACAGAAAAACCCAGAGGTCGTAGTAAAGTAGGGAGCTTCACAAGTTTTGCTAAAATCACAAGGATCACCACTGCCATGACCTCAAGTGTAGACCCTGCACCCTTCCAGAGAATCCTCCTTGGCCCAGCCTTGCCCAAGTCACCCAAGTCTGACTCTATCAAGCCTGGCCTGACCTCACTCTTGTCTGTCTCTAGATGCCTGTAACTGTTATTCCTGAGCCTAAGAATTATGGTTTCAAAGTACATTGTGTAGTTCTTTTTATGCCTTTGAAATCTCTCTTCCTTTGAGTGTGCCCACATTTTCTACCACTACCCTCTGAGAAAGTGCTTCTCAATCAAGTCAGGTACACGTACAACTCAGGAGACCCTCAGCTGTCACCACATCTTTGGGACCAGAAAGAACTGCCTAGTGCTTCTAGGATGAATCTCTAGACATAGTTGGTACCTCTTGGCTCACAGATGTGAGACAGCCAGAGACAGCCCTGGGCATAGTCATGGAGAAAGGCATGCTGTCTCATGGCTGTGTTTAGGAAGCCATGCTTTCAGACAGCACCAAAGCGGGACCATGCTTTTGTGTGCAGTGTTAGCAATGCTGGGGGACTGGAGACACTAGGGATGGACAAGCAGGTAGCTCACTAGCTGTCATCAGACCTCACTGGGAGCTCACTGTGCAACTTCATATACACTGCACTAATTACTTTAGTAATCCTCAATCACCACGTGGAGGCAGGTGCTGGTTTTAGAGGGTAGGTCGTGTGGACTATGGAAAACCGTCAGGATCTCAATGAAGGTGTATTTATCAAGCAAGTATTAGGTAATTTTGTCCAGATCTTCCTCCCTCCCCACTCAGCTGAGCCCCTCTCTGTACTTTTCTGTTGCATATTTTACTGATCATGAAGACAACTCCAAGCACACTGGAAATGGTTTTGCTTGGACAAGACTTAACACGTTGGACATGCCAAGTCCTTCTAGAACTACGTAACCTATGGACTGGTGAGATGGCTCAGGGACTAAGATCACTTGCTGCTCTTGCAGAGGATCAGAGTGCAGAGGTTGCCAGCACTGATGGGATGTCTTTGAGCCCCAAGTCCTGGGGACTTAATGCCCTTTACTAGTTTCCATGGACAAGTGCATGCCTATGAATGTACTTGCCGACACATCTTTTTAAATCCTAGAACAGAGAAGCATGGGGTCACCAGATGCGGTGCCCTCAGGAGTTAATAGATATCTTAGGGGACCATGCCTATCACTCCAGAGAGGATTATTGTAAAAAATCAGGACAGGACTAGCAGCTCCCAGTCTGGCTCCCTCACACAGCAGTGTCTCTCCATCCCATCCTTGAGGGCATTCATCATTGTGTGTGCACGCACATATGGGTCAAGACGGGGTTTCTCTGTGTGAACCAGGCTGGCCCCAAAGAGATCCTGCCTCCCACCGTGCTGGAATTAAAAGATGTATATCACTCCACCACCACCCTTGCATTCATTATTTTGTGATGGAGTCAGGGAATTTTCCAGAGCTAGTGCTATGCTAACTGTATTTAAGCTTCCAAAATGGATCTTTTTATAATGTGCTACCTGTCAGGCTTTTTTTTTTTTTTTTTTGTTATAGCTACGAAAAATCAGACAACATGGTAGGAAATCTCTAGGATGGTGTCAGTGCACATTAGGTGTTAAGCTTCCCAATGCCCAAACCAATTACTACAGCTAATATGGTCAGCCTTGTGAGGTGAGGTCACCAGCTGGTGGCACCCATGGAACCCATGGCTGGGGTAACCTGTCAGGGCCTAGCAGGAAGGTGTGTCTTCCAAGGTGATACTGGGAGCAAGTGAATTTTTTCTTTTCTTTCCATCTGACAGAAGGTGAAGAATTTTCTCTTGCCCCTTGCTCACAACCATCATGATGCCCTGCCCTAGGAAGCCATACTACCTGAGACAAAAGAACTCTAAGTAGTAAAACATAAACTCAAGAACAAATATTTTAAATTGATTTCAGAACAGAATTCACCAAAGCTGTCAATTTTTAATATTGGACAATACTTTGAGGCTTTGGTTGTAGGGCACTATAGTTGTAGAACAGTAGCAGACCCACCCAGTTGGTCAGTCACCAGAGGACAAGGGCCAGGATGGCCATAGGTACCAACAGGGTTTTCCAGGGTGGGATTTTGTGCTTAGGTTTTGCAATGTGGTCAGCAGGCACTGTTCTTTAAGATGGACTCCTGTTCCCAATGCTGTTCCAAGTCAATGACAAGGGCAACAGCTTAGAAATGACACCACAGGGTGGACTTTATTTTAAAGCTCACAAGGTGTTCACAATGATCACATGATCCACACGTCTCCCGTGTCACACCTCCACGGGACAGTGCACTGTGTGGTGATAGTTACAGCCCTGCTTCGCATGCTGCTACAGTTCACTAGCTCTGTTGTACTCTTGACTTGGTAATAATGAAAGCAAAATCACTCTACGGACAGACTTAATTTTTGAAAGCCCTTATGCAAATCAGACAGTCTCATTTATAAACAACCACAGCCACACACATGCGGAAATGAAGAGCAAAATGCAAAACAAAACAAAACAAAACAAAAAAACACCCTTGGCAAGAATAACTGCTTCAGAGATTCTCATCCCAGCACACTTGAACAAGCAGTGTAGTTTGTTTCCTCAGAAGACAAACCCACCTCCTCAGTGTATAAGCAGCAATACTGTACAGAGCTCAGTGTGGGTCACAACTCCACAGGAACCTGTCACCAAAGTCATTCTCCTTTAGGGTCAGAGACTACAGACTCAAGCTTTTCCTTTTGTTTTTCCTCATAATACACAAAATTTCTAGACAGTCTTAAAGAAAAAAAGAAAATATAAATAGACTCAGTCTGCTATACAGAATCACATACTATGGCAAACACATTTCATGAATAGGAGGAGGAAGCCAGGAGGAAGTGGAGGAGTCTATCTAGTCCAGGTCCATGTTGACAGAGCCCTTCTCATTAGGGTGGCATTCACCGTTCTGATGCGGAGCTTCAGCACCAAGATTAGTTTTGCCTTCTAAATCTTCTTTCTTGTCAACATTTGGGCCATTTGGAGTTCTCTCAAGTTTAGGTGACTCAATTTTTGGTTTGGGTTGAGTTACGACAGGCTCACAAACATTGTTCAATTCCTAAGAAAACAAGATTAGTCATTAGGGTAACTGAGACCCACTAGTTAATTCACCGACTTCCTCACACACCTGACCCAGTATTTTCTTACCCAATTCCAATCTTCTCATCAAACCTGCATAAATAGATCAGTGACAATCCTAATCAAACTGACTACCTCCTATGGCTTCTCAAGGACTTGCTAGGTAGCTATAGATGCTAATGCACCCCTGCGACAGTAAATACAGGAGTTATGAACTCCACACTGAGAAAAGGACAATGACTCAAGGCTAAGTCACTTCAAGATATCATCTGTATGTGGAACCTGGAACTTAAGTGGCTGAGAAGGCCCGCTTCCCCTTGGTCTTCCTTGTTTGTGTGTACATTTTCAGCCTTTGTTTTCTTCTCAGGCCATCCTGGTCAAATGCTCTTCTGCCTGCTCTCCACAGCACAGCATCCTGACCCTGTCACCCTACCCTACTTTCTTTTTCTCCCAGTGTTGCTGGTCTTTATCCCACACACAGCAGGACAGACTGTGCACTCGATGTCTGTTTCCCTCAAAGGACAAACAACTGCTGGCACACAGAAGGTTCAAGGATACACTGCCAACTAGGACAGATGGAGATGAAACAGCTCTAAATGGCAATACTGAGTAAGGAAGCCAGTGCTGGTCTAGAGGGGGCCAGGATTTCCAGGGGAGGTCCCAGTGTGTCAAGCTGAACTGAGTTCAGTGAGTAGCTGGCACCACACGCACCTTGACCTTCGCTCTGATTTCGTGAGTGCGCACCACAGGGTCCTGATCAAGACTCCGTTTAGCTTGAGCATTCATGACATTATTCATCCACTCCATCACCTCATTAACAGACTTCTCAACCTTCTTCATTTCAGATTCATCAATGTGGTTGTACTTCTCATCCTGGACAGAAAACACACAAGACACTCTAGAGAATATTTATTGATAGCTACATCTACTCAGACTCAATTTCCCTAAGTTCAAATCCACCCTGGTTCCAAACACCAACAGTTCCTCTCTGAGCAAAATGTATTGAGCATAAAGATCCTAGGCCACATGTTGGCTAAGTCAAGGTCACTCCCTGGGATGAGAGCGTCGCTCACCTTGCCTCTGAAGTCCGCTGCAATCTTGGCATAGTGCTGCAGGCGCTGCCCCAGCTCCTCCAAAACTTTCGGTCGTTCCTCAGCTTCTTGAAATCTGACTTTAACAGGAGTGCCCATTTTCTAAAATGGAACAGGTGTTAACAATTGACAAACTTACACTTTAATAAACATCAATGGCTTAACATGCAAGCTGTACCTTTTAGGGGAGAACAGAGCTTACCATCAACTCTTCCAACTTGTCAATATACGCCTGCTTAGCCTGGTCCTCTCCTTCCTCATACAGCCAGTCTTCTGTCTCTGTGAGAAGCCTCAAAAACTTCTCATGTTCCTTTACATAAAGGACAAAGATCAGTGGCAGTCTATTTCAGAGGTTCTTAACCCAAGCAGGCATTTCAGCAGTGACCTCAGGTAACTCTCGAGGAAGACACTGGGTTTCCCCTTCACATTAACTAGAGTCACACGATGACACAACAGATACTGGTATCATGGCTTCTGTCTTACACGACTTTAGCACACCACTTCTGACTCCAATTCGGAACCCAAGAAACCCAGCTCAGGTCGTCTATCACCCAGTGCTTGGGCCATGGAGGAGCAATTGTGTCCTTACTCTCCAAAGCAATCATCTCAATATTGCCATGCACAGGTGGCAACCAAAGCCCAGTACAGCACAACTCAGGGGTCAGCTGGGCTAGAGGGGTCCTAACCCAAGCCTAAGTCACTCTAGTCGGCCTTTTCCCACAGCCGGGCTTCTGGATTTACCCAAAGCTTCAAGTAAGCAAACAAAGGGTGGAGGGGACAGTGCTGCTGAGTGACACTGTAGTGGTGCCACACGGGGACAGTAACAGACAGCTGCTTGACTTATCTGTAGGCCCCCTATGTCACATGCCACAGACTCCAGAGCAGATGTTTCTGGTGTCCTTCTGGATGGTGGCCACTACTGGAGTGACATCACACTCACAGCAGGTGAGCCTCTCTAGGACCTAGCTCACTTTGACTTCACCAGACTCAAGTGAGCACGCGAAGAATGACACTAATTAGTGACACTAATCCCTGGGCTAGCTGCTGGCAGAGCCAAGTATACCTGCTCACATATGAATTTCTCATATGGTCCACACAGCTTGTCCCTGAACTCATACACACACTCCTCCACGGCGTTCTTGGCGTCGTTCCTCTCCTTCTCCAGCTTGTCCTGCATGATCATCTTGCCCTGTCAGGAAGGAGGTTAGTCAGCCTTCAGAGTTCCAAACTACACCTCAGCAAGTGAAGATTACAGAAAAATCAGTTCGCTCTATACCTCATAAAACTTGTTCTTCAGAACCTCACGGTCCTTAGATTTACAAACACATGTAGACGTTGTTTTCTAATAATGCTAGGCCATCCCACATTTCATTACACTCTTACATTTAAATAACAAGGACTTTCTATTAGTTCTAAATTCAGTGTGCTCATCTCAGTAACAGACTGTAAGGCATGCCCGTGTTCTCAAAGGGCAATTCTGTGTGTGGCCTGCTTCCATGAAACCTGTGCAACCAATCACTTCAAAGGAACACAGCACTTCTCAGCCACGCACAACACAACTCCCTTTAAAGTACAAACCTCAGTACCAAACCCAACCAACTCCATTAAATTAAGCAGAAAGATCCATCCTTTTGCCTTTATCTATGTCTGAAATAATTTAAAACTTAACACCTGATAAGGAATTAGTCACTTATCCCTGTGGCATGCAGAAACAATCAAATAGATGTATGTAAAGAAAAGCACTTACCTCTGTCTCAATATACATGTTAAGAAGGTCTCTCCCCAACTGCCACACCAAGTTGGCTTCTACAGGCAGCTCAACGTTTATCACCTTTATTTTAGGTTTTTTAGCTTCTGGAGGCTGATCAACTTTCTTTTCATTTGCCTTGAGGGTTAAGAAAAAGAAAATGTCTCAATGTTTAGAAAACAAAACCCTACCGCATTTACTGATGCTCTCTCTGTATGCAGACTCTCATTCTCATGCTGGAACTGCCTAAGAGCACCTACACCCACCGCCCACCCTGGACCACGGCAGTGACTCAGTGTGTTATCTTTCTGCATCAACTCACCATTATCTTTTCTGGTCACATTAATCTTTACTCTAGTCTGAACTAAATTATCTACTTTTCTAGTCTGGAATCTTACAATAACAACTTTACATAACCTCAGACCATCACTAGAGATGCCAGAATTTATTCAGGTCCCAAATGTCTATCTTAGTCCCTCTCTCCCAGCACGGCGGCCGTTCCAATCAGTGCTAGTGCTCTCAAGTGCATCTCTATAAGGCTTATTATGTGCTACTTATGTGCAGAGGTACCGCCTGCCTTTCAGCCATATCGTTTCTCATTTGGAATTTTGAAGACAGCCACACACAGTTCTCATGCCTGTCACCCTAGCACTCAGAAGTCTGTAGCTATGTATTTGAGGCCAGCCTGGGCCACATAAAGAGTTGAAAGGGTCTTAGGATAGACAGCAAATGGGATGATGTGGCAAATGATAGAGTATCCCCCAATGCAAAAAGCTCTTAAATATGAATTTGTTACCAGCATGTACCTGCCTCATGTAGAAAACTCCAGAGGACGGCATGTGATAGGCCACAGTCAAAAGACAAACAACCAAAAAAACAAACAAACAAAAAAACCACTGCAGAAAAATTGGCTTTAGACTTCACAAGGAGTATAAAAAACATCCTAACCCTATAGTATATGTCATTGTGAATATGACTACAAAAAAACACTCAGACACCAGCAAATATTTTGGATTTCAAGTTATATAAATACAAGGCTACAGAGATATCTCCTGTGGCCTTTAATTTCCCAAACATCGCTGACTTCCCTTCAGATTCTTGTCACACTTCTGCTCCAATTGATACACAGCTGACGAGACTCAGTTGCACAGTGGATTATGATGACAAGGTGTGCAACTCACCCCAGCAGGATTGTCTAGGCTAGTCAAGAAGGAAAGAACTGTGACATCCCACCAATCCCTACCCCTGGGAACCAGAGCTACAAGCTACAGGGACTATGAAAAAAACATGTGCAGTGACTGTGCTAAAGCTACAGACTGCAGTGGACCCTGCAGTCATCCTACAGTGCCAAAGCATCATGTCTTAATGTCCACAACAGAGAAATTTAAACCCACTGCGTACCAAGACACAGGCATGCAACTGATACTGCAGGAACAAAATTCAACCAATCCCTGACCAAACCAACATAAGCACAAAATAGCATTCCAATACAGATGAGAAACCCTCTATGCTGGAGTGACTTCCCCTCACTGTATGAAGGTGTGTCCCTGTATTTTCAATAGTCCCTTGCTGCAGAGGCCAGTGCTAGCAGGATGTTGGTATTGTCATTTCTATGGTCCATCATCAGTTTTCTGTCTGTAAACGCTTGTCCTTCCTCACCAGGCCAGAAGATGAAGGTCAGGCAGCCTAAAGGCAACCTAAGAGATGGAGTGGGTATCGTTTTGCTGCTGATTAGTTCAGACTGGAACATGGCTTTTTGTGTAATAAAGAGCTGACAGCCAAGAGCTGAGGCAAGAAGTAAGGGAGCAGGACTCCTGGGGTTGGGGAGCAGGGGTTGGGGTGTGTGGGGTGGGGTATGTGTGTATGTGGGGTGGAGAGACAGACACACAGGAAAAAGTGGCAGACAGAGAAGGCAGTGGGAGGGAATGGAGCTGTAAGTTAGCAGTGAGGCCCTTGTGGGGACATAGGATGGCCAGCTGAGAGAGATTGCCCCAGCAAAAGGCCAACAGCTTTAAATTATACAGAAGTCTCCATCCATATATTAATTATACCACAAACAGAATCCTCGAAAGCCCGGCAATATTCCAAGAAGTGTTTAAGGGCTAAAACCCAATGTCATTTTCTAGAAAGTTACTAAAATTATCTGCAAAAGTCTGTAGACATTTCACCCTAAATCAAGGGGAATGATGTCAAAATGGGAGGACCTATATTCCAAATAAATACTATCACCTCAACTCTTTTCTAATAAAAAAATAAATAAAAGCAGCTTTCAAAAACCAGTTCATGCTAAGGGCCACAAGATTAATCAGGACAGAGGAAAATAAAACCTGGCAGAAAATCCATTCTGACCTCCACCAGCTGTTCTGTATCTTGCCCAAGTGAGGGTAAGGTATTCTCAGAATTTGACTATAAAGGACAGTTAATCATTTACACACAGTTTGTAGAGACTGACTCTGAAATACAGCATAGGCTGGAAACCAGCTTCTCACTGTCACTGGGCTTTAAAGCCCAGCTTTAAAGGTTTGATTACAATCTGGCATTTTTTCAAGGGACACAATAATTTTATTTAGCTTCCAATACTGGAATGATCACTTGGGAATATAGATATTACCAGACTGTTATAATTAATTCAAAATTGACAGGTTATTTGAAAAAAGGAGAAAAAGTTCACTACACTCTTAAAGTCCAAGTATGAATTCTATTGATCAAGTCTTTAATTAATCTTGCGTACTGGGATACATCTTTCTGCCTCTGAAAATTAGCAGGTACTTCTGTCCTTTTGAACACATCAATCTTTGCTTTTGGCTTGTCTTAGAGTAGCAGTTATTAAGAGAAGCTTTGGGATTTAAAGGAGAGTACTTGTTTCCCTGCTTAAGTCTGAGCACTACTGGTTTTTAGCTGAGTAACACATGTAGAAAATGAACAGAGAAAAGTCCTACAGCCCCATAAAATCACCAGGATCCCTCTCGGAAGCACAGGGTTAAACCATCAACCATCACACACCGCAACACCGTCTAATGCAATGAACTGGAAGAGTCACTCACTTTGTCAGCATCTGGGATTTTGTTTTCTTCTGAGGTAAGTTCAGGTGAAGGGGGAGACTGTGAGGTTTGTTGACCATCAGTTTGTACCTGGGGCTGTGTTCCAGCTTCACTGTTGTCTTGCTGGATATTTTTCTGAAATGAAAGCCCAGGCACAAAGGATGTAGAAAGCAGGTGTACTTGTATGAATTTAAAATAATAGGGCACCAAAGACAGTACTCTCAACTTCTGAAATCTTAATAGGTGGGCAGAAAAGAAAAGGTACCAGATAAAAACAAGTACATGAAACTTTAGACATTTCAAACCTGTAAATAATTTTATAAATGATAGTGTTATAGTTAAGTTATATAAGACACGAGAGCTCCGATAGGTGACAATCCAGAGCTCCCTTGAAGACCCTTCCACCTAGCCCTGAACAGATGCTCACAAGCACAGGACACAGACCACCACTACTACTAGCTAGCCCAGGCTCTTTGCAAAACCAAGTATCTGAACTCCAGCAGCAGCAGCAGCAGCAGCAGCATGTACCTTAGTGGTATCAGAGTTACAGAAAATGAGCACTACTTGGTCATTCCATGGCTTTTCATTCCATGACTCTGCAATCTTACCTCAAAGGACCTCAGCACCAAGAATCAACAGTATCCACTAACAACCCTGCCTAAAAATTTGGCTTAAAGACAAAAGGGAAGGGAAATTACCCCTGAAGGCTCCTTAGTAGGCCCCAGTTCTCAGCAAATGTGCGCGTGCTATCACCTTTCTCCATGCTGGAGAAGGCAGGTTGAATACTCTGCCCACCCCGGAAGACTTCACATTTCTACCCACAGCTTCTAGTCCTAAGCAGACACTGAGAGGCAAGGCATTTCTCATACTGAAGGCTCTAGGCACTCGCCACTCTGTGAATGGTGTCCAGATGAGAACAACCCTAAGGTTCATAAGATGCTAAAGGTCTTTCAGTGTCTGAGACCTGTGGATACCAACACCTTCCCACCAGCACTGCAGTGCCTGCCTCTTGCTGTAAGCCCTTCTCACCTCCTGTGCTAAGAAGTCAGCAGTCACAAGCATTACCGTGAGAGTTCTCTTCCCACCTCCCCAACCCAGAAAGCTGTGCTAATAAAACAAGTCCGGGAATAAACACCAGGGGCCAATTTTGCTGTACATTGAAGACAAAACAAAATCTACTTTCCTATTTCAATGTTTATAGTTGTTTTTAACCAGTCAACATCTGATCTAACATAACATATATCCTTAAGAACACAAAAAGAAAAAAGCAACTTTTTCAACTCAAGTCATACCAGTTTCTTCAAATGGGAATGATCATGCACCTCTCATAATACACAATATTCTCATATCCTGCCATTAAAATTGGAAGGACTAATGATCACATAAAATTCTGATCAGTGTTATGTAACTGAAAAAAAAAATTAACAACAATTACTCTCCTACAGTTCAGAATGAAGTCAATTCTACTTTTGAATGTGACAATCGCTCTAGCAACTTACATCCACATCCGCGCTTTCTGCGGGTCTCTGGTTTGGACATTCCATGTCTGCCTCAACAGAGGACCCATCCTCCTCCTCAGTCGGGACCTTTTCCACCATGGATGCCGTGGAGATGGTGAAAATGCCATGTGTGTTCACACGCACTTTGACTTTCACTTTGGACTTTTCTCCATCTCTCTGTGCGGAAACATTCTGAACAACAAAACGGCCTAGAGCAAAAAGAAACTGCCAGTTTAGAGACGGATTTTTTTCTTTCTATAAAGACAACCAAGAAAATACAAAGCCTAAGAAACCAAATGTGAAGGAAATGTCAGTCCAAAACTGTTTCCCAGCCCCAACCAACTTCGGGTCCCTCGGCAGCACTCAGGAGTCTATTTACAACTCACACCCGACACCCTAACGTGCCATTAAACCTTTCTAAGAAGCACACTCTTGTAGTGACATGAGCTGGGCAGACATCATGGGCAGGTCCTCCTGAAATCAGTCTCCTGCCTCCTCCTTCCCATAACTCCAGGTGGATGAGCACATGGCAGACAAGAAAATCTCTGAGCAAATCTACAGAAGAAACCACGCACATGCTATACTTCCAGTCTTTTAGGGAATACTGATCTTCTGATTGAATAATGAAAAGTGTTCCTGTCTTATTTTAAACAGGGAACATGAGCTGAAGCACCCATCAACTCCTGCCTTGCAGAGTAATGACTAAGAACAATCTGAATGCTGCTATCATCTGGTCTTCTAGAGAAATGCTTCTCAACCTGTGAGCCCAGACCCCCTTGAGGGATGAGGGGTAAACAACCCTTACACAGGGAAAAACAGAGACATTTACAATTATTAACAGTAACAAATTTACAATTTCGAAGTAGCAAAATTATGGTTACAAAGTAGCAAAGAAATAATTTTATCATTGGGGGGCAGAGGGAGTCACCACAACATAACCAACTATACTAAAGGGCTGAAGCATTAGAAGGGTTGAGAACCACAGTTCTAGAATCACTTTTTACAATGAGTGCTTACTGTACCAATAGTTACCCACCACTGAATCATATGCCTCTTGAGGGCTGCTGACAAAACAGGTAAAGTGCTTGCTATCAAGTGTTCAATTCTGAAACTTCTTCCTCCACGGATGCAATTCTACCCAACTCAACCCTGGGACCCATGGTGCAAGCAGAGAACCAACTTCCAAAAGTTGTCCTATGACCTCCATACAGCCACTAACATACAAATAATATTCTGAAAATAGGTACTTTGCTAGGCATGGTGACACATGCCTTTAATAACAACACTCAGGAATATATACCAAGCTCCAGGATATCCAGGACTACATAGATAGGACCTGCCCCACATAAGTATTTTGAAGTAGTGATATTCAAGAATGACATGGATGTAACAGCCTTATATTTAAGGTGCTGCCTGCACATGCATATGCAGAGTTAGATTTAATTCCTAGACCAGTCAAAGATGCTGGATGGCATAGACCTTGGTTCCCTAGTAAATCACTAATTCAGAAGTAACTGTCATTTAAATGGTCCTTAATAGAAAGGACAATTTCTATAAAAGTGGGTCCAGGAAGTCTCATTAGCATGGACTGTGAAGCTGCTCACCTCTGGTCAGTCCTAGCTAGATAACAGAGTCCAACCCAGAAACTCAGTCCACAGTCAACAAGTTCTCCAGCTGTTCTACCACTTCACAGGGCACAAGTGTCTAAAAGCAGTATGCGATAGGCCAGAACACATTAGTCGTCAGGTAAAGGAAACATGGCTGGCCAGACTGGAGTCCTTCAAATGCTTTCCCTGTAAATGAGGTGAGTGAGTGAGGGCAACTCTTAGAGGCCTGGTGGTGTTAGCAGTTTTCCCAGTCTAAAAAATACTAAGTTCCTAAAACTAAAGCGGATGGGACAATGGCACCTGAAGAGAAGTCCCTTCAGAGAGGTCGTAAGTACACAAGGTCTAAGAAGTGCCACCTTGCTGTTGGGAGCCAAGCTTTCAATCTGAAGTAACACCCTGCCAACAACTTATACCTTGGAGGTCTGTGTGGGTGTCTAGTACTCTGCAAATACAGTCTGCAGCACACACAACAGGAGAGCAAGTCTCCAGCTCAGTGTCCAGCAAAGACAAGACTCCTTACCACACTGCTACAGAAAACAACTGTCGGTTTCTACACTGGTAGAACTCCAAAAGCAGATGCACACCACGGACTTGCTTACCGATTTTTGCTTCTGGATATGGAACTCCTTGAGGGTCAGAATAGAAAGCTTCTAGTTCAAAGGGTCCCCTTCTCAAGAAGGTGAGCACTTTGGAGAAAGGAGCCGCGTGGTTCCGACTGAACACCTCGTGAACACTAAGAGGAAGGAAGCTCACAGTTGATAAAGACAAACTCCACCATCTTACTAATTCTACCCCGTCACTCACAATGAACAAGAAAGAAAGGTGGTGAGGATTATGGACACTATCGGCAGCTACATACCCTTCCGTTTCTTCTGAGTCGTGGTTCCAGACCAGAGAGATTGGGAAAGGGACTGCATCGGTCACGGAGAATTCTCTAACTTTAAATGCCGGAGAAAGAATTGCACACTTGAAAAGACAAAGTTTTTAATGGTTAAAAATATCATGAGCCCAAAATTATTTCCATACATCTTTTACTATGACAGACTAGGATGGGCAAATTTAACTGCTTTCAATGTGTCATCTTAACGTTATGCTAATCACTAGCCACAAAAAACAAATCAAGAATCTTGGGCCAGCAATTAGTAACTCCAAGCTTCCTAGCCTGAGAACACAGGTTTTTCCAGCTCTGCCTCCCTGATGGCATTTGCAGTTACAAGCTGACTGTTTATACGCACACTCACAGGAAAGCTCTGCTTTACTGCCTTCCCAAGTCAAAGAACAAAAAAGGGCAAAACTCTATAAACATTTGCATTTTCAACAGAATTTCTAAGTGAAAAGCAGTGGCAAATTCAAAGTCTGGACAGGCCACACCAAACTGACTAAACAAAGCACACAGACCCAAGGAGGGTCAGTGATATCCTTAAAACAGAAGCCAAAACTCAGCACCACCTTTTAGAAACCACGAATTTCCAACACTCTGGGGAGCCAGAGCGAAGGATGCATGTTCTACTATGAAGAAAAAAGAACAAAGCCCTTCCTGTAAAGGACTACCACGGGAAGGGGTTGGTTCCAGCAAATGGGGTCACATGCTGTAAGTGTACCCTATCCCCCCACACTCAAGACAATGTCTTAAAAAAGCCCACTGTTTTGTACAATTAACAAACACTAATGAATCCAAAATCCAGGCTAGGCTTCTCTTCTGCTGTAGTGCCCAAGGCAAGCCTCTGAAGACCATGGCTCACAGGATCCCACATTCCTTGTAAACTGTCAAGTAGATCATCACAGCTCAAACATGGCTGACAGAAACATCAGTCACAGTGATGCAACCTTATTTGACTACGATATCTTAAATGTAAACAGCATTTTCTGTTCACTAACATCTAGATTAAGTGCTTCTGCTTCACCAACTTTCCAGCTTCTACACTGCGTCATTTGAGAAGCAGGTTAAAAATTCATTTGGGAGTGGGCAGACTATCTATTTTTTAAAATCATTTGTTAACTAATACTTTTAACCTACACACACACACCCTCAATCAATTCTTTATGACAAGTGATTAGTACTCTATTCCCTCCTATGATTGAAAGCAATTGTTCCCAACACAACACAGATGGTTTCTGCCCTCTCAGAACCAGGCCTGCTTCTAGCCCTCACATGACACTACCAGCTGGGTGGTCCTTTTCACATTCCACTTCCTGCACCTTCCCAACGTTTAGGATTTATCGAAAAGTAGGTTCCTTTGGAACATAAGCAGGAACAGGGTGCATGTGTATGAACCACCAGGGTGAGTAAGGGACCATGGGAACTCACATACCTGCAGTGCACAACCTCTGGCCACTGCTTCATCTGCATTGAGCGTGGTACTGACATCTTTTCCAAAGAATTTGGCAATTCTTTCTTTCACAGCTGGGATTCTTGTGGCACCTCCAACTATCTCAATGGCACTCACATCTTCAGCCTTGAGTTGAATTTGTTCCATCAGCGAGTGAAGGGGGATCTCTATTTTTTGCAGGAGCTCAGTACATAGTTCTTCAAACTGTGACCTTAGTAAACACAAGGGGCAAGCACATCATGAACCATTACTAGGACAGCCACCTCACGTCAGTAGTACTTTGAAATGCTCCACAAAGGCACTTGCTGTCAAGCCTAATAACCTGAGTGAAGAAAACGGAGTCCTCAGAGTTGGCCCGTGAGTTCCACATGTGCACTATGGTAAGGATGCACACAACGCATTTTTAAAAACGCATTCTTCTCAGAAGCGCCTCTAAGTACTAAGTGATAAACACTAGTGTCTACAGCTATAATCGACGTAGCACATAATCCTGCAGTGTAAGTCAACTGGCCACAAAGAATGTGAGGTTAAATGTTCAACTTTCACCTATTTCACGAGTAGAACTCAAGATACCAATACCTGTTCATCTTTCCAGAGACATCCTTGTCATTCATGAAGCACTCGATGCTCAGTGGCAGGTCTGTGCTGTTAGAACTCATGAGCTTCTTTAACTTCTCACACTCCTGGTGGAGACGAAGGAGGGCTCGGATTTTGGATTTTGCATCTAATTTGTACTTGGTTTTAAACTCAGCACAGAAATGCTCTACAAGCTTCTCATCAAAGTTCTTTCCTCCTAAAAAGGGATCAAAAGCTGTGCCTAGAACCTAAGGTTAAAAAAACAAGAGAGAGGACCAGGTTATTTTCCATCATGTTTTAATTAGAATCTTGGATATTCCAATTCAAAAGGTTAACTAACATGCTCACAACTTCTATTTAAATCCAAGCCAGGATGGATGTAACTAAAGAAATGCCAACCTCTTTAAATCTCTTACTATCTAACGTTAAAGAGAACAGAAAAAGCCCCTCCAGGGTGTGCTACAAGGACACACTATTTTCTATGCAGCGTTTTACAGAACTTATCTCTATTTTGGGCCACTTCGATGTTACCTTCAGTTTTCCTTTGTTAAAAGCACAGGCAGACACTTGGAAAGAGGAGTGCCCCATGTCTACAAACACCACGACTCGAGGTTTCTCGTCTGGATTTGGGAGATCCTGCTTATAAATTCCGTAATTCAAAGCAACTATGAGGAAAGTAAAAGCAAGTTGTCAGCCATTTTCCTGGGAATATCTTCTCACATGTTTTGCATTTTCCAAAGAACCAGTGACTACCCTCTTCTTGACTTTTGGATAACTTTCTATCACTCCACTACTACAAACAAGTCACAAATGGTACCAGCCTCCTCGATACAACACCTAGTTCTAACCACAACCTGCTAAGAGACTACTTATCCATGAACTTAGTCTTTCTCAACTGTAAAAGCACTCTCAGTAAAAGGCACATATATCTAGCGAGCACCAGCAAACACCATTCCTTACCAGCTGTCATGTCATTCATGAGCCGTAAGCAGTTTAAGCCCACAATCTGCGCAGCATCCAGAACAGACCTCCTCTCAGCATCTGTGAAGAAGGACGGGACCTGCAAAGATGAATGTTCACTCTCTAGACACTGCTTCCAACTGCTTCACAAAGAATCTTAATAAATTCCCAACAATAACTGCCAGCCCCAAAACAGAAACTTAGACTTGGTTTCTAGCAATTTCCTTGACTTTCAGAGCTGCCTTTTTGAGAAAATAATAATTAAATAATAATATCAATTCCCAAAGCACTGGTTTTCAACTGAGGGAAGAATTCTTTCACTGTGAAAATCTCAAGAATACCAACCCCTGGTAGTAGAGCAGCCAACTGCCATGGAGAGAGAACTCAGATGACACCAGCCACCCTGTATTTTTAGAAAGCTTCATGGGAGACTCTGCTGCACTGTGTATGTCTGTAGTCAAGGACCTTTGTAGCTTCTACCGAAATTTACCACTCCAGCTTACTTTGAAATGTTCCAAAATATTCAGTTTAAGAGCACCTTGCTAAGGAAAGAGTGTGCGTATATACGGTACTGAGTAAAATAACGGCAAGCTGAAAGCAAACACTGCCTGGCTGGGCTCTACTTACTGAGATGACACAATCTGTCACTGGCTTCTTGAGGTTGTTTTCTGCAGTTTCCTTTAACTTCGTCAGCAACATGGCTGTTATCTGTTCCACACTAAAGAAATGTTCTTCATCCATGTACATGACCTATAATGAGGTGAAAAGTGTTTAAATACTGTACACTTCAGCTAAATGTTAACATGACATTATAATATAACAACTGTTAGTATATACCCTGTTCCAAAAAATTTGTTTGGAAAGAAAGAAAAAAAAGGAATTAAAAAAGAAAGGAAGGAAAAAAAGGAAGAATCTTTGCCGGGCGGTGGTGGCGCACACCTTTAATCCCAGCACTTGGTAGGCAGAGGCAGGCGGATTTCTGAGTTCAAGAGTTCAAGGCTAGCCTGGTCTACAGAGTGAGTTCCAGGACAGCCAGGACTACACAGAGAAACCCTGTCTCAAAAAAGCCAAAAAAAAAAAAAAGAAGAAGAAGAATCTTCCCTAGAGATGAAAAGAGGGAAAGCTAGGGCTGAGTCACCAAGACATGTGTCGACCAGGCAACTGCTCTTAGCTGGATGTCTGCTTCTTGCTTTACTGTTTGGCACATACTTCCAAAGGGCTGTCTGACCATGTCTCAGACAGCATTACTTAGATTTTTAGTACCAAAGCAACCAAGAAACACAGATTAATCTATAGGAATGCAGTATCAGCAGGGCACTTCTCAGGAAACAGCTTATAGTAACTATACATCAAAAGGAGCCAAACAAAAGGGAAAGATCCCAGTGTATCCGATTAATCTGGGTAAAATCCTAAGATGTGAGCACGCCCCTCTCCAGAGAGCTCGGCAGCGGAGGTCAGCTGTATTACCTTTATTCCAACACCTCCATTCTTCATTGGGACTAAATCATAGCTCAGGTTTTCCTTTTCCTTTTGAATGAAGGGGTCATTGAATGCTCTGCCATGAAATCTCTTAAAGCTAGACACCGTATTGTTTGCATGAGTAATTTGCTGCAAAAGAAATGCAAAAGTTAAACTTTTTTCTGATTCCATCACCTCCAGTACCTACAGCAATTACAGACAGTCATTTTTGCAACTCAAACCATCTCCGGGAGACGTATACCTAACTTTCCCTCAGTCCTCGATTTTCCATGAATGGATAGCTCCTACTGTACTTTCTTCTATGGAAATTGCCAGAAGGAAAGGCAATGGTGTCATCAGACTTTGGGGCAGATCTCAAAATCTGCAAGATAAAGGAAAAGACGGCGCGACTGTCTCCAAAGCTCTCAAATGCTCCAGCAACTGTATCGCTGTATCCCATCTTTTCCCCCAAATAAACATGAGCTCAACACCCCAACTACGGTGAGATTTGGAGCACCGTCAGGATGAGGACTTTATGTGTGTCTTCTAGCACTTGAGCCAGGCCAGAAGTAGAGGAAGTGAGGATAACTGCAAGTTTCTAAATGACTTATTTTCTTGGAGAGGGTGGCACACAGATCTTATCATCACTGAACTCACACCCCTCTAACACTGCTGGGCATGCTCAGGAAAGGACGTACTTCAGCAACCTGTTCCCTGGAATGTGGTCGTGTTCTCAGGCACACACAGTAATAAGGGGCATGAAATTCAGGTCAACTAGATGGAAGTATGCCAAGCTGTTCTGAGATGGTGCTCTCTGAATCTACTCTTTGGGCCACAGCTCTAGATTAAAGAAGACCCACTTCAGAGTACATTTCACTCAGAGGTAGGCTCCTCACTAAAATGAAGACTAGAAAGATTACCTTCTGAAGCCATTTAAACTTGGAGGCACCTAGTGACTACTATTCTTTTCTCTTCTACAGCTTGTCAGGATCTAAAGTTCAACAGTGTGGTAGGTAGGCTCATGTACTAAGCTTCTAAAATCAACATAAACTACACAAACGAACTAACAAAAACAACTACGAAGATACGTTGCAGGAAATGGTTCTCTCCCACTACCACTTGGATACAAGGGATGGAACTCTTGTTGTCAGGCTTGACAACAGGTACCTCGACCCACTGAGCACCCAAACCTCACTAGCCTTTGAGAAACTACAAATGGAAAAAAAGAAATCAAATGTCTGTAAATCTAAAAATTTTTAAGCAAAGCATGGCATCATGTGCCTTTGATTCCAGTACTCGGGAGGCAGAGGCACTCAGTCCTCTGGGAAAGGGTTCCAGGCCAGCCAGTGAGACACTCCCTGTACCTACCTACCTACCTACCTACCTACCTTCCATCCATCCATCCATCCATCCATCCATCTATCTATCTATCGAAGGCCAAATACCCAAAAGTAAGGTTGCCACTAAAACCCTAATGAACAGAACCAGAGAAAGGAACAAAGGTGCTTGGATCCCATGGAGGAGGCCAGCAAGAGTGTTGAGAACTGAGTTACAGGCAGCTGTGAGCCACCCAGTAAGTGATAGGAACCAACCCCAAAAGAGTAACACATGCTCTTAATGGCAGAGCCAGCTGAGCCATCAGCTCTCCAGCCCCTAGTTATATTTTTAAACTTAAACTAGATTAAGCTTCAGCATGTCATTCTGCTGTGCTTCTGGGATTCTCCTTTAAGACAGATGACCATACCTGGTTTTTGGCTGCAACTCCAATTGTTCTGTTTTTTGGTCCAAATGATATGACTGACCTAAAAGTAATATAAAACAGACGTCTCACACACATCAAAAAAGCACACGTGGCTGTTTCTAAGCTGACAAGAGGGAAATTCTATCATAAACCAAACACAATCCTACAGTTTACAACGTTCACAAGGTTTTTGAGACTGGCAGGTATTTCTATTTAAAATTCCACTTCTGACAACTCAGTCCAAGCATTAGCCCTGCTCACACCCATGAAGAACCTGCTAGTTTGCTTGTAGCTCCTCTCTCAATACCTGCGGTGCTAATACAGTGTCACCAGGTCACAAAGGATAGGGACCTTGGCATTATGCAAAACCAACAAAAAGTAAACATAACTCTTTACCTGTCATCAGCCCCATACAATCGTAAATGTCACTCTGATACTTATTTCTGTCCTGATGTATCATGTGCTTTAGAATTTTAAAGTTTTTATGTAACCCTAAGAGGTCTATGGTATGCCTGTAGAGTTTAAAGGATACGGATGAGGTAGGTTCCCATCTAGAAGATTCTATGTAAGAAGGTCAAATAAAAACGATCCAGAAACAAAGTTACTGCTGACTGTAGTACAAATGCTGAGGGAAAGGAGAAGTCAAGTCCTCACAGTCACACTGGACCTGCTTTGACAAGATGAAGAGAGACAGCTTTCTCGGCAGAGGAAAGGGGACACACAGAACCAGAACAGAGACAAGATGGAGAGTGTGGAGGAGGCGGTGAGTAAGGCTTTGGATTAGAGAGTAATCCACCGTGCGTTACTAATCCAAATCTAATTTGGGTTCAGTTACTCCTACATGGGTAACTGAGATGAGTAAACTGGCACTATACTGAGGACGTTAAAGTTTGCTGTGACACAAACAGCAGACCTAGAAGCTCTAAGCAGGTACTCAGTGCACCCTAAAGCTAGGGATCTTCAACCAATGGCTGGATCTTGTAAGGTTCAGTTCACAAGCCCTGTGAGTCAGAGCTCAGAGGGACTAGACACTTGTTAAGACTGGATTGTCTCATTTTCCACGTCAATCAATCAGCTGTAATAGGAATCAGTAGCAAACTCCATTTTCAACCGCACAGTTTGACCAAGGGTAATAAAATCCTTCAGTCGGAAATTCTGGTCAACAACACACCGACCCAAATAGCTCTCTCTACTTTCCTTTTTTTTTTTTTTCCTTTCTTTTTAGGCAGAGAAGGAAGAAGCACTTGGCATATAGGAGGGAGGCATGAAAGACTGGCATCCTTCCTACTAATTGCCGAATCACAGACCACCATGGCTTTGTAGAGAAAGACAGAATCAGTATGTGCTTAGAGAGTAAGTTATTAGCAAGGCTTATTTCCTTCTATTCACTCTCATAAATGTTCTAACAAGGTCGGAATGATTTTACCTTCGGGTTCCGTGTTTAACATTTATTATCTTGGACTTTGTACATGGGGAAAAAAGCCCCTACAATGACTGCCTTTAAAAGCAAGCAGCTGTTGTCAGTGAATTCACACGCAGGTCTAATTGCCTCTATGTAATCTTCAGAAACTAACCCCCTCAAAAAGTTGCTTTTTATCATGCTTCCGTTTACCCACCCACGTTGCTGCAGCATATTTAATTCCGAGACAAAAATCCATCTTTCCCACTGAGTTTTTTTGCACAGCAGCGTGTTAGCAACAACAATGTGAAATTTGTACTGCTTCCTCTAAACAGTGTTAAAATAAACAAACTCTGGGTCTGGAAACTCTCATGAACATCTTTCACAATGAGCTTTAAGAAGAACGTTTCCAAATAGCGATTCAGGGCACTAGGGCAACATTAGCAAATCGAGAATAGATGAGAAGCAGAGACGGTGGATTCCTCCACCATAGCGTGTTTCTTTGGTCGCTAACAACAGTCCGCTCGCTCCCTAGGCAAGCAGCAGCGCACAGGCTCTGGAACCTTCTAGGTCATTTGGAGATTCACCATGCGGAGGAAACGGCTCAGCAGCCCAGGCTCCGCGGAGATTCGAGCTGAGGTGGGAGCTGGTGCCAGCTTGGAAAAGCTGAGTGGGAGTCGGGGGTGAGCCTGGAAGACCAGCCGGATCAGGTGGTCGCCGGGTGTCACGGTTCTCTGAAACCCCAGCACCCATCTCCCATGGGAAGCGGCGAGCTCGAGCCCTCCCCGGCCACCCAGGCGTCTACTTACGGGGTGCAGCGGTCGCTGAACTCGTTAGCGATGGTCTCGATGCCCCCGGCCCGCGCCACCGCAATGTAGCAGCTCTGCGAGCCCACGTCTAGCCCAACCACCGACATGGCTGGCCCGGTCTGCCTCCGCCTCGGGTCCGCTGCGTGCTCGTCCTGCTCCCGACAGGCCGGGAAGATGTCTCGGGCTTACCCTGAAAGACTGCGCTCAGTCTTTGCCACCGCTCTCCGCCGTCCACCGCCCGCCGCTCTCACGCAGCCGCCGCTGCTGCCGCTCAGCTACCAATCCAAAAGGGGAGGTCCCAATCGCTCAGCCTTATGTAGACTACTGAGGAGAACTTTCCAGAATCTGCGGCATTTTACTCACCGGCGCCTCCACGTGCCACTTCCGCTTCCTTCTTCTCGAGCCTTCGAGAAAGATTCTACCCAATGGACTGCTGGTCCCCCCGCGGGCGGCCTGAGTTGTCATGGTGACAGGGCAACTGCTGGGGCGCGATTGGTTGAAGCGGACCGAGTTTGCCGGCCTCCATCCCGCCCTCCCCAGCCTGGGGGCAGTTTGCATTCCGGTCGATTCCGGAGATAAATAATGGGTCGGGAACTTCCGTCGCTTAAGAGGTAACCCCGGTCGGCAGTGTCTTGCTCCCGTCGCGGAGGAACTACTGAAAGGACGGAGACAGAACCCACTACTCAGGGACCTCAGGCCTCTCCGGTCAACGATTTGCTGTCAGCAGAGAGCATGCTGGGAAGCGTAGTCTGGCCAGGAGACCCTAGCGCCTTGCATGCCGGGGAACGCAGTCCAGTGGTGAGGCCTCGGTGCTTTGCATGCTGGGATACGTAGTCCAGCCAAATGGTGCATGCCGCGATCCCGCTTTGTCTTAAGCGCTAAGAAAAAGAGGCCCAGCTGATTGCTGCTGATTCGCGCCCTTTCTCTGGTGTATGATTGTTTTATGTTCTGTTCTTGTCTGTTTTTTTCGACAGTTAATGGCTTGCGATTTAGGAACGTCAGTTTAAGCCGCAGATGCAGTTTATATTTTGTAGACATTCATCTGCTGGCAAGATTGTTGCAAAATAAAACACCAGAGGGGTCTTCTTCTTCTTCTACTTATTCTTCTTCTTCTTCTTTTTTTTTTTTTTATGAAAGCGACTTTTGATTACTATGCAATTTGGGAGGCCGCTGGTGGTGTCGCTTTTTTGCATATTTTGGATACTAGTTTAAGCCGACTTTGTTTAACCCTGTCACTCCTAACCATTAATATAAGGTTATGGTTTAATATAATGGTTAATAATATGGTTTAATAAATGGGTGTATGGTTTATTCCTTGTTTAATCTAACCTTTCATTTTCTTTCCTCGGAAAGTAAGCATAGGTTCCATGAAGAGACAGAGAAAGCAGAGGTAGATGCTGCTTGCTCCTGCTTTCAATTCTTATGTAACCTTAAAAACGTAAACTGAGAACCCTGTGTGTACTTTACCTCTACGATATGGAAATATGCACAGTTCAAAGGTGTGCTGCTAAGTAAGTGTGTAATTGAATAAAGAGTTTGGAGCCAAGGTCAAAAAACTGACTCATGAAGTGTAAGGCACTGCCTCTTCCAGCAAGATACGTGTGGTTGGTTAAATGGGAGGTTTATATACAAATTACAGAGTAAGTGGTATTCGTGGTGATTGGTTGGCTTGCCACTTAAGTTGTTTCATCTGCTACATGTAACTGTCCCATTGAAAATGGCAGAAGAATAGAAGCCATCTCAGGGCAGCTGCATTTTAAAATTTGAAATGTTTGCTGTCATTATTTTCATTTTGCATCTCTGAAACCTCCTCCACCCTAGCTTTCTTTTTTAAGTATATGAAAACTTTTTAAAATCAATAGAATCATAGCTATTTTTTTAAACAAAGAGTACCTCTAAATTATTTGATTTACTTCCAACACTTTATATGTTTATATAAACTGCCTAGAGTTGTGGTCAGATTTAGGTCAGGTTCAAATTTTAGTACGCATCATTAATATGTATTACATAAAATACAGCACCCGAATTTGGACTTCAAGGGCTTGTATTCTGCCTGTTCTTATTAAATCGAGGGCTATGCAAACTGATAATTACCAGCCCTTCCCGTGTACTCTCTCATGAAGTTTTGTAATGATCAAAACCTTATACAAAACACTAACCATGTAATTACCATGTAATAGTATTTAATGTCTGTAAAGCTAGGCTAACCTGTAAAATGTCAGTAGCACCCATTCTCGATGGGATTTGAGGGACTGGATGTAAAGACACCTCCTCTGCTAGTGAGCACTCAGTAGATTGTAAGAAGGATTGGTCAAGCTCAATGAGTCAACTGCAGCCTCAACTCCTGCTGCTTGTGGAGGCTGGGATGTGTGGCCATCTTGTCTTCTCTATTTAGCCAGCTCTGTGCTATATACAGAGTGAGTCCACTCACAAGCGGCCATAAGAAGCTCCCTGTTAGCCCTCTGGTAGCCTCATTCCATTTTATTGTGTGCTCGTTAATTTTTATCATGTAATGTCCCATGCCTCTTACGTCACAGTGTTAGAATTTTAGGTGGAAACTAAGCTCGATACAAACATACCCTGCTGGAATGATGCCTCTGTGGTTCAGAACTCTTGCTGCTCTTGCAGAAGACCTAGGTTTCCGTTCCCAGTACCCACATGGCAGCACACAGCCATCTGTAACTCCAGTTCCAGGGGAGCCAGTGCCCTCCTCTGGCTTTCATGGGTACTGCATGCAGTAGTATATCCGTGAGCTTTTCTGTCTGGCTACTTTGTTTCCAGAATAACGACTCTGAGACTATTAAAATGCTTAGGCCATAAACTTGGGCTTGTTCCCTGATTTGCTCGTTATGTATATAACCCGTTTAAACTAGTCTAAGTTCTGCCACGGAGCTACTTACCTCTGGGGTTTATGCGATGATAAATAATAATTCCCAGGCAAAGGCAAATCCCCATTCCTGACTCTTTCCCAAAATCAATCTCTCTCTCTCTCTCTCTCTCTCTCTCTCTCTCTCTCTCTCTCTCTCTCCCTCCCTCCCTCCCTCCCTCTCTCTCTCTCCTTCTCCCTCCCCTACCTTGAATGTCCCACCTTCTAATCCTGCCTCCGCTGATTAGCCATGGGCGTTGTTATTGACAACATATAAGAGAGTCCCTCTACAATACTGCACATATGTAGATGTGGGCAAACCATTCATATACATTTTTAAATTTGTAATTTAAAAACAAACACAACAACAACAACAAACAGCCTCAACAAATACTTTTTCTGGAAATATGGCCCATTGGTAAGCATAGAGACATATGTATTTCTCCCGACTGCTATCCATAACAGTTATTGTATTCTATTTTGTTTTAGAGAGCAAGAAAAGCCCTCGAACTACAAGTAGAGACAGCTCCTAAAGAGCAATAAAGTAAAAATGCACCACAGAAAAGTCCAAACAAAGCTGCTGCGCACAGCTGTCCTATACAGCAGATACAAAAAGCTATAAGCAGTGTCCTTGAAAGAGCGTGGTGGGCAAAGGTAGAGAAACATGAAAAGCGCACAAGGCCTGCAACGTTTGGATGAGTTTAACTGAGCACAGTAGCAGGTCCTGAGGGTAATGGAGAAGCATAAAACCTGGTCTAAATAAAGGCATGTTTGCTATGGTTTCTGCACAGTATCAGTGCTCAATTACCTGAGATTATCCGTTTGGTTTTCTTGTATATTTAAATCTTGTTCTTTAATCGGTTCTGCCAAAATCTACTTTGTCTTTCGGTTATATTATAATGAGCAGTGAAAAAATTGGGATGAATGGGGAAATCGTGGGGAGCAGAGACTTACAAAAAGACAGGCATAAAACTATAGGGCGGTAGGGGTTGCTGAGATGACTCAACTGTGAGAACCACTGTCCTCTGTTCCGGCACCCACGTGACAGCTCATGGCCATTTGTAACTGCAGTTCCAGGGGACCCGATGGCCTCGCTGGCCTCCACAGGTGCTGCACACATGTGGTGTGCAAACAGACATGCAAACACTGAAGCGCATAAACATACATAAAAGCCTTAAAACACTGTTTTAAGTAAGAGACTTTATCACATCTTCTAACAATGAGGACACGGGAATAGTATATTAGAGCTTTCTTTCTCCCTTCTAATTTACAAAAGGACTGTTATCTTTCATAACAAATATGGCTAAAAAAAAAATCAGCACATAGGCAATTGCGCATGCGTGGTGCGCATTCTGCACCACGTGGAAACTAGCACAGGACGTCACTGACTAATACATGATGTCATTACGCATCGGCCTCTTCCCACATCTACTCATCTGTATTTGCATGCGTTTCCCTGCTTGGAAAATGTTTTCTCCCATAGTCTCTTGAGTAGGCCTGGTCCCTCTCACCCTTCAACTGGGCCTGAATCTCATCTCTCTCTGCCTACCCAGGAAACACGTCATCAAACCCAAAGAGGCATCAGCTTTTGCTGTTTCTCTTTGAGAGAAACTACTGCCAGCCCTGGTGCCAAGGGCCAGTCACTTTAGCTGGGCCCAACCAGCATGTCCCACCTCCGTTGGCCATGGTCATTGGTTCAGGGTTGGCATGTGATCCGGTAGTCCAATCAGAGTGGCTCTTGGGTGTAGCATTCTCCATTTCCCTTTGCTCTCCAACCGCCAACCCCTTCTTCCCTCTCCTTCTCTTTCTGGTCCCTGTTGAAGAAGTTTTGAGATAGAAAACCATTACATTTCCCTTACTGTCATTTTGGAAAGGAAAAACGACCATTGCAGAACAATAGATTACAGCTGGAGGCAGGAGCTTAAGTCAGTCATGAGATTACTTCTGGATAAGACATATTTATGAGCTATGCTTTGGGGCTCCCTTTGGAAAGCTTGCCTTGCAAGTCTTAGCCACAGCACCTCCTAATGACAGTCTGTGGGTTACTTCCTCTGCACACATGTGCCACAGACCACAGTGACCCCGGGGTATGTGCCTATGCTCACGGTTTACTTCTCTCCGATCATATGGCTCAGGAGGTCAGTAGCGTATTTTTCGTCTTTCCAGTGCTGCAGAGACGCTAAGTTAGTACCACCGGAATAACTGGATGGCGAAACTGTATTATAAACGTCCAATGAAAAGGAGTATTTATCAGCTTACTTCTAATCCAGTGGTTCTTAATCTGTAGATGGTGAGTGACTCTTTCAGGAGTTAAATGACCTTTTCACAGGGGTCACCTAAGACTATCGGAAAACGCAGATACTCATATTACGATTAATGAAATTAGCAAAATTACAGTAGCAATTAAAATAATTCTGTGGTTGGTGGCAACCACAGCACGAGGAGCTGTATCACAGGGCCACAGCATTAGGAAGGCTGAGAACCACTGCTCTAATC